CTGGAGTGGGGCCATCGCCTGAGCCCAGCCATCCCTCACATGTTTCCTACAGGCGTCACTGTCAGGCTGGCCTACGTCCCCTAGTGTGACCATTGGAAATCTCCTGGTTCATTGCTTTTTCATATTTGCATTAACTGTGAATTCACTTACTTGAAGTTCCCATGAAGAAGCAGTGAGGGCCGCTCTGGCCAGCAGATGCCGAGCAGTGGGCTGAGCCCCTGCAGAGGGGCATGGATGTGCCCACCTCTGAGAAGCCCATGGAGCTGGGGGGTGGGAAGATGGGGGCTCTGAGCAAGCTGGGCTCTCAGACACCAGCAGAGGAAGGCTGGCTGGGTGGAGGGTGGGAGGCAGGCACACAGAGGCCCCATGGTGGGCACTCATCCATCTGTGAAGGAAAGCGCTACCAGAGCCCTGAGGTGGAGAGCTGACTACTAATTTTTGGATGGAATTTCCATTGTTGAATTTGAGATCCATTTCCCAGAAAGTCACGCTGGCCCTGTTGCTGGAATGCCCGGCCTGATGATGCCGTTTCCTGAGGTCAGCTCTCGACCCTCAGCCTCTGGGTCCACCAGGATTTTGCAGGTGGAGCTAAATGGCAGGTGCTACTCTGGAGAACTTGCCCTTCTCCCATCTTGCCTGGTCCTTGCCTGCCACTGAAAAGGGGAAAAAAAGAGGCTCTGGAATGCCGACTTGAGGGAGTAGCTGTTCTGACACCATTGTTTTTGAGCTGCCCTCACTTCTCTCCCTCTGCGTGCTGAAGAACAGCAAGTTTTGAAGAACAGCCCTCATGAGTTGACGCTTCCCTTTCCGTGGAATGCAGGATGCCAGGTGAAAACGCATCAAAAAGGGCAGCAAGCGCAGCGCTTCAAGCCCAGCTCGCCAGCAGCCTCCTCCGTGCCAGCACCGGAGCGTTGGCATCCCCTCTCTTCCTATGTTTCTGTGCCAGGAAAAAGCAGCCCACCACCTGATCCGTGGAGGAAAGGAATGCATAGGGCTCAGGCGGTCCCAACTGCCAGCAAGACAGCTTGTGCCCCACGGGGGGCCGGGAGGGAGGCTTGGAGATCATCTGGGGATTTCAGGCAAGAACATTCTCCAGGCACTTGTGCGACACTGGATGGGCACAGCCGCAGTGGTGCAAGTGTCCAGGGGCCCCAAACCAGATGCCCACTAGCACCCAGATAGCCGCTGGGTGCTCTAGGAAATTCGACTCGCCCATGTCAAAGACTGGGAGACTTTTTCACAAAGAGAAGAGGAAATATTGCTCCAGCTCCTTGGTGCTTACCCATCAAGGGCAGAGAAAAGAGAATAAATAGAACAGGTTTTAGTCATAGCTGACTCCTGGGTGGAAGCCCCAGGTTTATCCCCAGGGGCTTTATACCCAGCTCCGCATCAGAACATGAAGCTTGAGCCTGTGCCTGCGGGTGTCCGGGCACAGCTCTCGATAGCATCCCCTGCACTGGAAAGTGCTTTCTAAGAGCCCCTTTGTTGTACTTGGCATGCATGTATTGCAAAGGTTGGGACAGTGGTCCCTGTGGCCTGGATGTTTGGCTGTTGTTCCCAGCTCCCCAGAGCTGTAGATAGAAACTCCACTTTTGGTAACAGCTTTACGAGATAAAATTCACATACAACTCACCCCTTAAAGTGTGTACTTCAGTGGTTTCAGTCTATTCACAGAGTAATGCAACCACCACCATAGTCAACCTTGGAACATTTTCGTCACTCCAAAGGAAACGGTGTGCCCATCAGCAGTCACTCTTCTTTTGCCCTCAGCCCCTGGAAACCACAAATCTGTGTGTGTAGAGAGATTTGCTAGTTCATTTCATATAAATGGAAACTTGTGGCAAGGGCAGATTCAGAGATTCCCAGGGGAGGCCCCACAACCAGCACCCCTCAGTCCTCCCATATCGAGATTTTTTTCTGATGAGACTTAATGACAATAGAGGGGATGGCCTTTCTTTGCTGTCCCCCAAAGATGAACTTGGAATATGAAGTATTTATTAAATGTTTTTGCTGCTGTTTGGATCACATTTCAGCGTGTTTGACAAAGAATCTCTTCATGGCTTCCCTCTTGAGCATTGTTACAAAATTAGAATGCTTGTAAAACTTCTGTCCTTTCTTATTGATTTTCCAGGTCGCAGAAGGTCAGGAAATTTGTGTAATCGAAGCCATGAAAATGCAGAACAGTATGACAGCTGGGAAAACTGGCAAGGTATGTCCCCAAGGTCTCTCCTGCCCACGCGGAACCTGTGACAGGAAGCAGGACTTCCACATGTGAATCTTGGATGGTTAGGCCTGAAAGGGACCTTAGAGGTGATCTCTTCCCGCCTGTCCCTCCTGCAGATGAGGACATTCAGTTTGGGAGCTCCTTCACCCTGTGACGCTGCGTCCCTGCCCCATGGAGAGCAGGCCTTGCAAGAGTGTATGATGTTCAAGTAGCCCGAGAACAATTGTTCTTCACCCTAATGTCTTTCAAATTAAGGGGTCTTTAATTTTTAATGTTTACATCTGTCTTAGAGGCAGTTAGTTATCTGAGACTTAGGTGACACAGCAGGAAATGGTTTTAGAGATTGCAAAAATTAATGTAACTCTTCAAGATAATTTCTCCACAAAGAGAACAATTCAATTTTAGATCAGGAGGAATTGAGAGCCCCATGTACACATCTAGGACTTAATGATTTAGGGCGAAAAGAGGAGAAGATATATTAGTGCTGAAAAATTTTAAAACTTCTTATATGTATTTTCTCCTTGAAGAAAATAGAAAAGTCCTCTAAAGCAGTAACTTCACTATTTATTCGTTGACTACAGACACCATTTGTACTAGAATGATCCTTTTCTGAAGGACAATTTGATTTGAAGTGTGAAGTGAGGTGGAGTGAGGACAGTAGCCTAGGCTGATGTCCTTTGCCATGGCCACACCTGGAAAGTGAGATCGGACATTGGGGATATTAGGTGCCCTGGCAGAGAGGTACTGTCAGCTCACAATGAAGTTTGCATCAGAGAGACACAGCCTCTGTCTGTCACCCCAAAATGAAATGAAATTGATGCTCAGAGAACAGGCCGAGGGGGCCGCCCAGTCCAGTCCCAACTAGGAGGGGGGAGGCCCAGGGCCTTAACTCATCTGGCCGGCCAGGCTGGAGGGGGCTGCAGACAGCTGTGACCAGTCTCTGTGGGGTTTGGGAAATGAATGGTATGATTTGCGGGTTTTAAGAATCCTGCTTTCTACATCTGACTACTTTTTAAAAAGTGACCAAAAAAATATTGGTTTCCGACATTGTAAAAATTGTTATATTTGTTTCTTAGGATTATTCAACATTGATGCTATATTATCATGAAATTTCCGTTCATGATAAGAACTTGGTCTCATCTTGGGCATGCAGAATATATGTCAGATGTGTGCCAAGGGCCCGTGTTGCTATGAACTTGGTCATAGCTCCTGGAAGGAGCAGAGGGCCCGTGTCTGTCAGTGTGCGTTATGTCCGTATGGCCTGGGTCCGTCTCATGGCGGAGGTTTAGCTACTCCCTGGTCATCAGGAGCCCAGCACTGCTATCAGGGTGTTGTTCGACTCTGCGAGAGTTGCATAGTGGCCTGACCCCTAGTACCTGGAGTCCTTCCTGCCTATGCCATCTCCTCCTACCCCCCAGGAGGGCACTGCACGAGTGGCCAGGGCCCCAGCCCAGAGGAGCAGGCCCTGGGGGGCTGAGGAGGCAGGCAGTTCTTATCTGCAAAGGCCGTTTTTTCCTCCCAGAGAAAAGGCTCCCAATGGAAGCAGATCCTCCACTCTAGTAACTGCAGTGTCGTGAAAACTATATCCTATACAAATACCGGGCTTCACACCATGAAAAGCAGCCACTTGAGTGCACACAGCACCTGCTGAACAGGCCTGGGAAGCAGCCATGGCACAGGGTCACACCAGCCTGGGAGAGGCTGGGCTGGACACCAGGGAAGAAGGCCTGTGTGCCCTCTGGCTCAGCGGCGTGGTGGGGACACAGGCCCGGCCGGGCACAGACCCTGCATCACCGGCACCGCTCCCATTCGCCACTTACTAGTTTTAACCCATCTTTCATTTTCACTCCCCAGCAAGAACCTCCAAGTCAAATGGCTGTCTCTTCCCTCCAACAAACCCCTTCCTGATCGTTTTAAATCTGAACACAATTTGGGAAAGCAAAACTTGACTAAAACTGGGAGAAATGAGTCGAGTGACAGGGCACAGGAGTAAGGTGGCAGCAGCTCAGTGCTTCTCCACGTCCTGCCACAAAGTACGGTCCGTGCAGCCACCGTCTTCTGAACGTTTCATTTCCCTTCAGAAGGAAGTTTACGATCGGCCTAGGGAATTTCTCTGTTCATTAGTACCTACTTTGACTCCTGTGTAATTGTTTTGTTTTTGTTTTTTTACACTAAACTACACCATTCACTCTCAGAATATTTCTACAACCTAAAACTGGAGCGAGCTTGGGAGGGCTGGGTGTGGGGAGCTTAACAAGCATCAACACTTCTGGCGTCTAGGATGCACCCAGGCCCTGTGTGCACCCAGTGTCAGGGCCAGCCAGCCAACAGCAGCAGCAGCCCCTTGTGCCAGGACTTTTAGGACAGACAAGGACGGAAGAGCTGGGAGAGGGGAGGGTGACGAGTCACAGCCCTCCGTGAGGACGTCCCCTCGCATGCGGTCCCCTCTGGCTGCGCGAGCTGCGTGTTCTACCTGTGCTTCAAAGCCTGCCAGGCTGGCTCTGCACTTCCAGAAACGGATGACGAGATCGCTCCCTCCTGGTCTAGTTAATAATTCTTACTCCCCCCTTTTTTTTTTTTTTTTTTTTTAAATTCAAGGTGAAATCGGTGCATTGTAAAGCTGGGGACACAGTTGGAGAAGGAGATCTGCTCGTGGAACTGCAATGAAGTATTTATAGCCTTTTAGTCATCACCCAGTTTAATTAGCCATTTGTAGTATTATTCTTTCACACTCAATTTAGTCAGGCGTTTTGCAGGAACACCCCTGAGCAGCAGATTTTACATGGTCATATTTATTCCACATATAGTCAAAACCAACATTCTGCCAAAAAATCACCAATGGAAGTTTTTATTGATATAAATAATTGTACATATGATTTGTACTTCTGCTGTGAGATTTCCTGGTGTCAAAATTAAATCAATAAAACTGAGTATTTGTCTAAATATTAGTTTGCCCTTTTTTTGAATGAAGACAATGTACATAATAGGCTACAGGCTGTGCCAGACTTTAAGTACTAGCATTTCATTGTCATCCTTTTAAAAATTGATATAAATCCCAGGTTTTGCCTTCAGTTTCATTAAACTAGCATTTGCCATCTTATCTGATTACCTACTTCATCCTGGCTGAGGACCTAACCATTGCTTTTAACCGTTATTCGTAACTCCTTACGCCCGTACGGCACTGGTGATGATTCTGGAAATCCCCCGTGTGGCTCTAATGGGTAAGTGCTGGATGGGCTGGTCCCCAGGGCATCACCTTATGGACAGCTGACTCACAAGGCCCCCTCTTCCCCATTCCACAGGCTCTGCTAGGGGCTTCCTCACCCCAACTGTAGTGGGTGGGGCTGCCACAAGCTCATCAGCTGATACCCATCCTGGCCTTTTTGTTTTTCTGTGAAGCAAGTTCCCAATTAAGAAAAAAGGGCTAAAAATAATGCTCCTTTTTTTGTGCCAGATGCAGCTAGTGATCATAGTCTACCATTAAGTTGAAGAGTAAGTGAGCTCTCCTGACAGAGGATGGGGTTGCTAAGGCTCAGCAGCTGCATTTGCATTGGTTCTGAAAACCTCGGAATCCATTTCCTACGAGCTGGTGAGTAAGCGGCGCAGACTCATGCACTGACTGGATTCTGTGCTGGCGGATCAGACGGAGGTGGGGCGTGTCGAGCACATCGTGCCTTGCTGGAATTATTTTAAGTGCTGTTTGTATTTTGGAAGCTGAGCTTTCTGTCAGGCCTGAAGAACAAATTACTAATATGTTGGTTCTTCTCTAAAAGGCCCACCCCCAAATGCTACTCCTGTCGGGGGGCAGGGACAGTGCCTGTTGGGCTCTGGGCTTGTGAGCTTCCATCTGAAACCAGTAAGTGGGTGCTTGTTATTTTGCTGGATTAGAATGAAAAAAACCTTCTATCAAATTAAGCAGGCCCAAGAAAAGGGGCAAAAATAGCACCAACACTTTTATATTCGATTTCCTAAAACATCTAGTTTTAATTTTAAATGATCATCTTTAATAATCTCTTTAGATAAGCTTGATCTGAAAAGTGTGAAGAATGATGTTATTTATACTCCAACACTATTGTAAAATAGAGCATTTTTTTCAAGGTTTTTAAAATTACACTGAGACATCCAAGAGCAGCTTAAACATTTTTTTCCTTGATGTTGCAAGTCAGAATCAATATAGTAGGACTGCTCAAATCCAGCTGCAACAGAGTCTTCACATTCACTTTAAATGTTACCTCCAGATTAAAGCAAAGAAAAAAAGAAAGAAAAAGAAAGAAGAGAAAGAAAAATATGATAACATAAGAGTTTCTGAAATGTCATTTAGGGGAATTAAAAACCCTACATTTTTCTTATCCAGTACATTCATACCCATGATGCTCTTGAAGCAGCGAGCAATAAAGCAGTATCGAATAGACAGATTTCAGGGCACAATCTTGTTATCAGTATGTCAAAATTATTTGGGAAATCGGCTGCTACTACAAAAGAGATTATTTCTTTGTCCACAGACTGCGTTTTACAAATATTTGTTTCAAAGGGCATTATTATGCTTTTGCATTCAGTGAGTACAGACCAAGCTGAGGTAATCTCATCATCATCAGGGCGCTATCTGTGTTCTGGCTGGTGAGCATTCCTCGCCTTTTTTATCTGTTTTCCCGTGGATTATAGCGCAGCCCGTGCTTCCCCAGAGAGTCGTAATTGTGGTGGTACTGGAGGTGGACCCACTCGGGCGGGTAGGTGGCCGTGCTGTACACGAAGCACTGCAGCGTCTGCTCGGCAGCTGGAGGCCCTTGGGGGGCGTGGGGCGCGCCTTCCCACTCGAGGACCGCGGTCCTCACGGAGGTGCGCTGGTACATGATGGGGCAGTCTTCAAACTCATCCAGGAAGCGCAGCATCCGCTCGTCCACGGTATAGATCTCCCCGGCCACGCGGTGGCCGTGCCCCGGCAGGTTCAGTAGATATGGAATGTTATGCTCTCCAGCGATCACCAAGGGGTAAGGCTCCACCGTGTGGCCCTGGCCCTGGAAGGTCGCGCAGCCATTGGCGTCGTCCAGCAGCACCTTGTGGTTGGGCTGGCCTCGCTTCAGAGTCCCGTACACAAACACGTGGGCCATGGCTGCCCGGGACACTGCAAAGGGGAAAGGAAGGAGGCCGGTGGGTATGACACACGTCAGACAGAGCAACGCAGAGCTTCGCGTCTCCCGGGGGTTGGAAACCTTGTCTGGGAAGGGCCAGATAGATGTTTCAGGTTTGCCTGCGAGCAGTGGCTCCCAACCCCCAACACAACCTTGACCATCATGTGGTGGGCTCTGAGGTTCCAGGAAACACCACCTCCCCTTATAGTTAATTTTTCTCAGAAAAGGCATTCCTTTTGAGAACATACTTACTTGCCAGATGAGACAGCCTGTCCTGGGAGCAAGCCCTACAGAACTGCTGTTTTTTAGTGCAGTTAGTTTTCAATCTTTTTTCAAAAGGACTTTAAATATTACACAATACTATAGAAAAAAATTGAAATAATGAGCAAGTGTGTGTGTGTGTGTGTGTGTGTGTGTGTGTGTGTGTGTGTGTGTGTGTGTAGCCCAAACAGTCCCCTGTAATGAGCTATAAGAGATAATTCAGGTATCAGTGCTAAATTCACATTCTAGCCCTGGCAGAAAGACCCAGCAAAGTTTTAACAATTCCACCTTTCTGTGTTCCTTTTTCAAGGTCCTAGAGGTGATGATGCTTCCCTGTGACTCACTGTGACTCATCATCGCTGTGACCTTGGCTCCAGTATGAAGATAAACATTTACTGCTTGCCTGGGTCTGGGCAACAGATTGTTATGTAATCGACAAAAGTGATTTGTGAAAAAGTCACTCACACAGAAATGGAAAGGAAAGTTGAACAGGGGTGGGCCCCTCTTCAAAGCCTGGCATTTCACTGCCCTATATGCCCAATGCTGTGTGATGACGGCAGGCTTCTTCAAGACAAGCTTTGGAAACAAGACACCCTGTGCAGGAAAACAAAAGATGTGTCCATCTGCTAGCGGCGACCAAAAGAAACACCTGGAGGGTGACACCCCCTGGACACCACTCACGTGGCCAGTGGTCCTTGAAGAAGTCACACTCATTTCACAGGTCTTCCACTTTCTTCTCAGCAAACCAAGGCTGGTCTGGGGTGGTCTCAGCCTCACCCCACTGCCTCAGGGCATCTGGGGAGGATGAGTGGTCACAGCTGACACATCTGACCACTTGCACCCTTCTCTTCCCCTCCACTGCCTTGGCCTCCAACACCAGCATGTAGGATGTTAAGAGTTCCCTGGGTTTCAGGCAAATTGTACTTGAAAAGCTTGGCCCTGGGAAAAACACAAGGCTGGCCAGGCGCATGCACTCTGGGCCTCTACCAACACTGAGCTGGGCAGGGGCGTGATGGGAACTCTAGCTCTGGTCACTCTGACAAGGGGAAAGGCCAGGTTAGAGTGATGGGACTTAAGGGGGAGGCGTGCCTCATGTGTGAAAGTCAAGATGTTAATCAAGAGCCTGGGAGGAGGAAGCAGCAGGCGCTTTGGAGCTTTGAAGCTGCAGGCGGCAGAACTGCTGCTGGGGGAACAGAAGGAGGGAGTCTGGGAGGATGGGGGACCTGAGAGAAGAGACAGACAGGTCAGGAGAGAACCTTGGGCCCGCCCACAGAGTGACAAGGACAGCATGGACTCTTCACAGAGAGGTGGGCTGGGGAGTGACCCAGAAAAATGAGCACCAAGAAGGCGACGGTGGACCTGGATCAGGCTGTGCGGCAGCCCTGGAGACCAGACGTTTGGAAGGCGCCGTCCCAGGCTTCTGTCTCCCACCTTTGCAGCTTGTCTTCTAGAGCGATCTGTCACTGCCTCCAGGTTGCACCCAGCATCTGCAGTGTCTCACCCCCTTCTCTACCAGCCTCGCCCAAGGACTGTCCCCAGCCCCCTATGGGCCTGCTTCTCTGCTCCCTGTAGCCTCTGCCCTAGAGGGTCCTGATCCATCTCAGCTGCAAACTCCAGGCCTCCTGTTGGTGCCAGCTGGCCATCACCTCCTCTCCCTCCAGCACCCCTGGAAGGAGCCTGCTGCCCACCCCAGGGCCTTTGCAGTCACGGCTCCCTCCCCCACCGGGCTCCTGCCGCTTTTCAGAGGCCCTGAGCGGCTGCCCTGAGGCAGCACCCAGCCAGTCCCTCAGCCCTCTTACATCACCCGGTTTACTCTCTCGACAGTGCGTGTTCTCCAGATCACTGCGTCTTGTTCACCACCAGAGTGTGAAGAGCTGGGAGAGAACCTGGAAACCATCTAGGCCAAGTCTCAGGTTGGTGAGGACTAAGGCTGCAGAGCTGGGCGAGACCAGTCAAACTGGAGCCCTGCTCTCACTGGTGGTCTACCTTTCCCGCTTTGGTTAAGTTTTTAACATGTATCCGTAATGTAGAAGTCAAATAGCTTTACAAGCAAAAAGAAACTTCCTACCTTTTCCCATTCCCTTGAGGTAACACTTTTAAGCCTTTTAACTGTTGCATTTGGTATCGATCTCCACATTGTTAGTTACTTAACTGCTACTTGTTGATGCTTTAAATTATGTCTGGCTTTTGTACCTGAAAAGCAGGTGAGCACAGAGTTTTAAAGCACAGACTTCAGAACCAACTTGCCTGCGCTGAAATCCTGGCTCTACCAGTTTTTCACTGTGTGACTTTAGGCAAACCACTTTACCTCTCCATGCCTCAGGAAGTAATAGCAACCTGTTTTGGAGGACGGTTGTTTTGGCTGCAGACGTTAATACAGAGACACTCCTGCGCATCCGGTGAGCCTGTCTTCCATGTTCGCGGCGTTCTTGCTGCTAGCAACTCTCTATACCCACGCCCCACACGCGCGCACTCCTTCGGCCCCACATTCCTGCAACAGCCTCACATCACAACTTTGGTCAAATTCATATTCAGCATTAGAGCTATGTAAACACTGTTCTCAGATAAGGCACATAGTGTACTATGATTAATTTCCTTTCTTGGACAACTTTTGTTTTTCTTGGAAAAATTGCTTCAGCTTTTTTTTCCGCTCTTTGCTCAAGTTTCTCAACCTCATGTTCACTGAAAGAGCTATAAGAATCCTTTCAGCCTCGACCACCCATTGGTCACAATTTTCCCGGCAGCCTTGGCTCCCAGAGCCCATCCTGCTCCAGCCTGGGCCCATGGTGCTGCCACCCGTCGGCACTTCCCGCCATGCCTGCCATCAGGGCTTCCCTGAGCTGCCCCTGGGGCCCATGGCCCCTCATGTCACTGAGGCTTGGTTTCCCACCCTTGATTAACAGTGTGGCCGGGCAGAGAACTCTATAAATAATTTCCTTCAGAACTTGAAAGGCATTTCTTCTTTGTCTTCTAAGTCCCCAAGTTCTTGCTGAAAAGTCCAGTTCCACTGGGGTCCACAGTCCTTCGTAGAGGACTCAAGCTTTTCTCTCTGATGGCTCTTACTAAGGTCTTCCTTTCTCCCTTCAGTTCTTAGGTTCTACAATGATGTGTCTTCATGTGGGTTTTCTTCGTCATCACTGTGCCGGAAATTTCCATCCGAAAACTCATCATCTTGGATCGCGGGGAATTTTCTTCCCTCTCCTTCCCTTCTTCTTCTATTTCTGGATCTCCAGTGCTCAGATGTTGCATATCCTGGATTAGTCTTCCAATTTGCTCTTTATATTCTACTTTATCTTCCAATTCTTCTCAATTTTTAAATATTTTGGCGATCATATTTCCCAGATCTTTTTCTTGTTCTCCGTTTTGTTAGCTTCCTGTTCTTTCACAGCATAATACCATCATCTCCTTACAGTTGGAAAGATACTATCATAAGTTTGTTTGTTTGTTTAAGTGTTCATCTTTCCCTGCATTGACTATTTCTCCTAAATTCCTCTTTCTCTTTGTTTTGGTATGTGTTTCTTTAAAAGGTTTTCTTCAGAGGTCTGTGTGATCGTTGCCTGGCCTTTCCTACAGAAATGTGAGATATGGTGTAGGAAACTGAAGTTCTGTGAGGGGAGGGAACCTGATGCTTGGCAGACCCTGGGTGGGGGCGCTGAGGACAGGTTTAGAGGGACCCCAGAAAATAGAATTTGTAGATACGTGGACTTTCTCTTCATCCCATTTTTCAGGGTGCTGCCTCGCCCACCCCCGCCCTCAGTGGGCCCCTCCCAATACCAGGCCTCTCGCTCAGCCTCTGGGCAGGAACCCGCTGTCCTCTCCTGCGGTTCCTGCTCCCTGTGCAGACTTGCAGCCCCTCCTCCCTGCCCCTCCTGCTTCCACGCACCGATGGCGCACGAGTCTGGAGCTTCTCTGGCATCCCGGGCACCAGTCGGCCGGCTTCTCACTGGCTTCTGACCACATAAGGATGTAGGTTTCTAGCTTCTCCAGGCTGCTAAGTCAGTTACCACTCATTTCTGTTTTTTGTCTTCCAGAATTTTGTGCCCTTCTCCCTTCTTTTGTCTTCCTGGGTCATTGGAGTGTCATGTAGGGCGACAGCAGGGATAAAAGCCTGTTCCTCCCGGGCTACTCGCTGGGGAGCCCTCCACTGCACCACCCAGCCCTTCCATAGCGCCCAGAGGCTGGATGCGAAACAGGAAGGAAGCGGTGGTTTGGGAACTGCTTGCTTAGTGGGGTGGTGACATGTTATGAGGATACAGGTGACTCGAGTGTGTTTCAGGTCGCCAAGAGGAAGCTGGTAAGGTGGCAGTAGTGGGCATCAGAGAGGACTGGAGACTGCTGAAGGGGCCCGGCAGCGTGTGTGTGTGGGGGGCAGAGAGGCATATGCGCAGAGGAGGGGGCTCCCTTCTGCCAGGGAAGAGTGGAAGGGAGAAATAGGCAGCAATTCCAGAAGGAAAGCCCAGTGGTGAGAACAGGTACACAAGGAATGAGACACCCCCTGCCCACTGTGAAGGTCACAGGGAGACAGACTTGTCGACAGGCTTAGGCAAAGAGGTAGAAGGACAAGAAGTTGTAATCAGAGGGACTTGTAGAGGATGCCATTTCTGAAGAGGGCTAATTAATTCCCAGCAATGACCAAGTTCAAGGGCAGCGGTACTGAGCAGCAGCTTTGGGTCCTCTGGGGGCCGTGCACACAGCTCGGCTGAGTGTTACCTGAGTGTGCCTATGTGTCATCTCAGCTCAGTGAATCCTAGACACTCTGTAAGACAGGTGGTGTTATCCCTATTTCACAGGTGAGAAAACAAAATCAGGACGTTTAGGTGCAGGCTCCAGGCACAGAGCTCCAGCAGGGTAGCACCAGGAACTGGACCTAGGTGTATTGGACTCCGAAAGCCTCCATGGCTCAGCTATTCAGACTGACCCCAAGACCAAATGGAGGGGACCCTGTCGAGCACAACCTAGGACTCAGGCCCTGCAATGGCAGCAATGGTTTGTAAAGGACCCTACCTCTCTATACGCTTCTCTCCTGCCCACCACCTGTTTTGGATGAATTTTATTTGATAAACCAATTCCTTCTCTATATTTCTTTTTTGGATTTTTAAAAACAGTGATGAAATACACAAAACATGAAATTTACTATCTTAAACATTTTTCCATTAAAAAATGTTTTCAATTACAGTTGACATGTGTTAGTTTTGGGTGATTAGACATCAATATACTTTACAAAGTGATCACCCCGATAAGTCTAGTACCCACCTTGCACCGTACATAGTTATTACAGTATTACTGACTACATTCCTTATGCTGTACTTTACATCCCATGACGTTTTTATAACTGACAATTTGTACATCTTAATCCTTTCCCCTTTAACATTTCTTGTAATACCGGTTTAGTGGTGATGAACTCCTTTAGCTTTTTCTTGCCTGGGTGACTCTTTATTTCTCCTTTAATTCTAAATGACAGCCTTGCTGGGTAGAGTAATCTTGGTTGTAGGTCTGTGTTCTTCCTAGTGAATGTTTCTTGCCACTCCTGGCCTGCAAAGTTTATGCTGAAAAATCAGCTTATAGGCTTATGGGAGTTGTACATAACTCACTGCTTTTCTCTTGTTATAATAGTTTTCAGATTCTATTCTTGCTCTGTCTTTACCATTTGGCATTTTAATTATGATGTGTCTTGGTGTTGGCCTCTTTGGGACTCTGTGCTTCCCAGGCTTGAATGTCTATTTCCTTTGCCAGGTTAGGAAAGTTTTCAGTCATTATATCTTCAAACAGGTTCTCAATCTCTTGCTCTCTCTCCTGGTACCCTACTCTTGATGTTGTCCCAGAAGCCCCTTAAACTACATTTTTAAACATTTTCTCTTTTTGCTGTTCTGATTGGGCATTTTCCACTACCTTGGTCTTCCAGATAGCTGACTTGATCCTCTGCTTCATCTGATCTACTGTTGGTTCCCTCTAATGTATTCTTTATTTCAGTTATTGTATTCTTTAATTCTGACTGGTTCTCTTTCTTTTATGGTTCCTCTCTCTTTGCTGAGGTTTTCACTGAGATCACCGAGCAGCCTTATAACCAGGGTTTTGAACTGTGTATCTGGTAGATTGCTTGCCTCCATTTCATTTAGTTATTTTTCTGGGGTTTTCTCCTGTCCTTGCACTTAAGACATGTTTGTCTCTTCATTTTGCCTCACTCCCTCTGTTTGTTTCTATGTATTAAGTGGAGCTGTTATGTACCCCAGTCTTGATAAAGTGGCCTTGTGTAGTAGGTGCCCTGTGAGGCCCAGTGGCATAGTCTCCCTGTTCACCTGAGCCGGGTGCTCCAGCTATGTCCCTTATGTGGCTTGTGTGTGCCCTCCTGTTGTGGTTGAGCTTTGATTGTTGTTGGCACATCAGTGGGTGGGATTGAGCCTCAGGCTGACTGGTTGTGAGGACTGGCCGTGACTACAGTGGAGGAGCTGTGGTAAGGGGCTGGCCCCATGGAGCGGGAGTTGCTTTAGCAGAGCTCTGGTGCCTGCCAAGTCTCAGGTGTGTCATTTGTGGAGGTGGTTGGGTGGTGCTCTCGTGTGGTCTGAAGCTGGCCACCAGATGTGTTGCTTCTGTAACCTCTTGGGAGGGGATCTGGTGCAGGCCAAGGTTGGCCGCCATTTGTGCCTGGCTTGGGGCCACCTAGTGGGAGCTAAAAAATGATGTGTAGTTTGTTTCCACTAGTGCTGGGCTTGGGATCCTTTGGTGGGTACCACAATGTGAGCTGAGGCCAGCTGCCACTTGGGCCAGGTTGTGGCCACTTAGTTGAAGCTAAGCTCTAAGCCAGCACTGGCTGCAGCTTATGACAGGGTTGGAGCCACCTGAGGGGAGTTACCATGCAAGTTGGGAATGGACGCAGCTTGTGCCAGGCGTAAGGCACCTTAGGAAGAGGTACAGGGCACACCGAGGCCAGCCTCTGCTTGTTGGGGGTTTGTGGACCTTTGAAAGAATTTTGCAAAGTCCACAGTGTGAGACAAGGAAAGCACACATGTGGAAAAGCTGCTGGAAGCAACTCAGGCTGGGCGTGGGAGTTGGATGGGGTGGGGTATAAGGCAATCTCCAGGCGGGGTGAACAGTGTCAGCCAGGTTAATGGACAGCTCAGATTTTGCGCTCATCTACACCTGCCAGCTGGGTGGGGAGAGGGCTCACCAAAGGAGCAATGATGCCTGCCAGTGCGCTTCCGTCTCTGGAGAGAGCGGCCCTGACCCGTCCCTCCAGCCATTACCCGGAAGCTAGTCAATTCAGTGCCTCTCCATATGTATGTGACACTTTTCAAGCTGCTGCCTCTGCACTGGAACCCAGAGTGAATGAGTGTGTGAGTGAGTCCCTGCATTGGTCCCTCAAGAGGACAGCTGGGACTCTCCATCTCACTTGGACACAATCCCCGCTGATTTTCATAGCCAGGTATTATGGGGACACCTTTTCCTGGTACTGGTGCCTTGAGCTGCAGAGCTGGGTGTGGAGCTGGGACCCCTATCTCCTCAGCAGACCTCTGCAGCCAAGATAGTCATCCTGATTGTTAATGGCTGCATTGTGGGTGTAGGACCTGCCCATTCTGCATCTCCACCCCACCAGTCTCCTTGTGGCTTCTTTATACCCTTAAAGGACTTCTATTCAGCTAGTCTTCAGGTGGTTCTCAATGATGGCAGTTCTATAATTTAGTTGTCATTTTGATGTAGTCACAGAAGGAGGCGAGCACAACATTTACCTACTCTGCCATCTTGACCGCAAGGTACCATCTTAATCATACTTAACACTTCAGTAGTGTTAAGTATATTCACATTGTTGTGCAACCATCGCCATTATCCATCTCCAGAACTCTTTTCATCTTGCAAAACTGAAAATGTTCCCAATAAACAGTAATTCCCCATTTCCCCCTTCACCAGGCAACCCACGCTACTTTCTGTTTCTATGAGTTTAACTGCTTAGGTACCTTACATAAGTGAAATCATCCAGCATTTGTCTTTTTGTGGCTAACTTATTTCACTTAACATAACATCCTTGAGGTTAATCCCATGTTGTAGCATGTGACAATTTCTTTCCTAAATTATTTAAGGAAGAATAATATTCCCTTGTATGTATATACCACATTTTGTTCATCCATCAATGGACATTTGTGTTGCTTCTACCTATTGCACATAATGCTATGAGCATGAGTGTGCAAATACCTCTTCAAGCCCTTGCTTTCAATTCCTTTGAGTATATACCCAGAAATAGAATTGCTAGATCACATGGTCATGCTATGTTTAATTTTTTGAGGGACCTCTATATTGTTTTCCATAGCAGCTGCACCATTTTACATTCCCACCTACAGTGCACAAGAGTTCCAATTTCTCCACATCCTTGCCAGCAGTTGTTTGATAATGGCCATCCTAACTGGTAGAGGTGGTAGTATCTCATCTGGTTTTGATTTGCATTTCCATAGTGATTAGTGATGTTGAGCATCTTTTCATGTGCTTATTTGGCCATTTGTATGTCTTTGGAGAAATGTCTTTTCAAGTCCTTTGCCCAATTTTTAGTTTTTTCATTGTTGAATTATAGGTGTTCTCTGTATGTTCCGGATATTAACCTCTTATCAGAGATATGATTTGTAAATGTTTTCTCTCATTCTGTAGGTTCCCTTTTTTACTTTGTTGATGGTATCCTTCAGTGCACGTAAGTTTATAATTTTGATGTCACTTGATTTATTTTTACTTTTGTTGCCTATGATTTTGGTGTCATATCTAAGAAATTATTACCAATCCAGTGTCATGAAGCTTTTGCCCTTTGTCGTCTCCTAATCTCTGCTTTAGTTCATATATTTAAGTCTTTGATCCATTTTGAGTTAATTTTTGTATATGGTGTAAAGTAAGGTTCAACTTCATTCTTTTGCAAATGGATATCCAGTTTTCAAGTTGCTGAAAAGACTGTCTTTTCCCCAATTGGTCTTGGCACCTTAGTTGAAAATCATTTGGCCATATATACAAGAGTTTATTTTTGGGCTATTGTCTTCCATTGAGATATATATCTTTATGTCAGTACCACACTGTTGTGACTTCAAAATTTACTGCAAAACTACAGCAATCAGGAAGTATGAGACCTCCACCTTTGTTGTTAGTTTTCAAGATCGTTTTTCTTATTTGTAGTCCCTTGAAATTCCATATGAATTTCAGGATGGATTTTTTTCTATTTCTGCTAAAAACAAAACAAAACAAAAATGCAGCTGGGACTTTTGATAAAACTTGGATTAAAGCTGTAGATTGCTTTGGTTAGTGTTGACATCTTAACAATATTAAGTTTTCCAATCCATGAGATGTCTTTACATGTATTTAACTTCTTTCAACGTTTTGTAGTTTTCAATTTACAAATCTTTCACCTACTTGGTTTTTTCCTAAATATTTTATTCTTTTCCGAGTGTTCATTGTTAATGTATAGGCATGCAACTCACTTCTGTGCACTGATTTTGTATCCTGCACCTTTAATTCATTTATTAGTTGTAACAGTTTTCTTGTGGAAATGTTGGGGTTTCTACATATAAGATCAGAGATAATTTTACTTCTTCCTTTCCAATTTGGATGTCTTTTATTATTTTTTCTTGCCTGATTTTTCCAAATATGACTTCTAGAAATATGTTGAATAAAAGTGGTAAAAAAAAGTTTTTGTCTTGAGCCTAGCTTTGGGTTTTACCTATATGGCCTTTATTATGTTGAGGTATTTTCCTTCAATACTAGTTTGTGTTTTTACCATGAAATGGTGTTGAATTTTGTCATGTTTTTTTTTTTTTTAAAGATTTTATTGGGGAACTGGGGGAGGGGAACAGCACTGGGGAATCAGGGAAGGGGAACAGACAAGTTGCTGTCGTTTTTTTGTTCTTCAGTCTAGTTGTGGAGGACATTGCTTCACTGGCCCAAGTTGGCACCATCATTGCGCTCTTCCCGGGCAAGGCAGATCAGTCGCCGGCTTCTGGACGGCCGCTCACTGTGGCTGCTGGCCGCTCACGCTGGCTGCTGGCTACACACGCTGGCTGCTGGCTACACACGGTAGCCCATGGCAACCCACTGCCACAGGGGCTACAGCCTACGCCGTCGCCGGCGACTCACAGCAGCCCAGCTCCAGGTCGAGCTGTTCAGCATCTTAGCTGTGGAGGGCAGTGTCACTGGCCCTCATATGTGGGATCCGAACCAGGGCCCTCTGGCATCCCAAGCCAGTTCTTAACCATCGCGCCACTGGGCCGGCCCCTGTCATGTTTTTTTTTTAATCAATTGTGATGACTGTGTGGTTTTTTCCACC